AAATCTCCGTTACTCTTTAACATGTACCCGTATTTCAGTTACATTGGCGATCGCAAGGATATTAAACTTGAGTATGCCCTTTTTACATCTCCCTCAGTTGTAGTGAATGATGGGCGCCTAGGGTATCGAAACCTGTTTGATGCAATCTTGGATGCGGCTTACTCAGCATTAGAGAAGGCTGGAGGCGGTTCTTTGAAAATCGTCGTATCAGAGACTGGTTGGCCCTCGGCTGGTGGGGATGGGACAGTGACAACGAAGGGGAATGCGAGAATTTACAACTCAAATTTGATCAAGCACGTGAAGGGAGGGACGCCAAAGAGACCTAGAGTCCCCATAGAGACTTATATGTTTGCCATGTTTAATGAGAATAAGAAACCTGGAGAAGAGACTGAGAGACACTGGGGGCTGTTCTTTCCTAACAAACAGCCTGTTTATCACATTGATTTCAACTAAGGGTGGAAACTCTAGTGTTCTAAGGTTACTCGTAACCCTAAATAAAAGCTAAGTGTCTTCTGATGTATGGGCAGGTTTTATTTATTTATTTATGAAATCTAAGGCAAAAGCCAAGTGTCTTGTGATGTATACAAAATTGTCGCTAAAGGGGAATATAATAATGATGAAGTTTACTTCTCTCTTTTTCTGGCCGAAGTTAGGAAGGGGAAGGAAAAAACTCACATACACGGGTATCATGGAAATTTGAATTTAGACCACTTGGGAGCACTTCAAAGACATGGGCTAATCCAACTAACCCCATTGGTGAAGTTTACTAGTTGAATAGGTTCTTTAGGAATTAAATTTCAATCTCATATATATATATACTAGTTGAATGTTTTACCATTCTCTATTTTTTGCTTTATATATATAGATATAGATATATATATATATATGTCAATTACAAAAGCCCAGTAATATTGTATCACTCATCTTGTTTTCAAACGTAAATTGTAGTAGTTATGTAGTAGTTATATATATTACACCTTTTCTCTTAACTTTTGCTTTCTTTGTTAAGATCGGAAGGAAACATATGACATATATTAAGAGAACATGGCCGCAAGATAAACGTACAACGACGAGAACTAAAACTTAACGCCGTTAAATAAACCTTTAACGACAAATAGAAATATGACGTCTTTACATACATAATAGACGACGTTATTGACACCTACTACGTCACAACATTTCCAACAACCGTCGTAAAATAAATTTTC